TTTCGATTCATATTTCATACTTAATGGTCCATTTTAGTATTAGATATACTGTATTGATTAAAAAAAGATAATTTGTAGATTAAAAATAATAATTTCCATATTTTAAAGGAAAGTGTTATTCCCAGCAAGCTTTTCATAGCCTGCATGCTTCTTATGCTAATCTACCTTAGTCATTTTTTGTTTCATAAAGTCAATCAATCTTGTAATTCTCATTTAATATTCAAATTACTCATGGTGAAAAATCAGTTATTTTGTTCTCCATTGCAAATGACTACTTCAGGAAATGAGTGAAAGTATTGGGACTGCACACCTCTGAGACTAAATACCTAATACTTCAGCCAATAATCCCAAGGACACTCCTGGGAATCCACAAATCTTACTGTATTAGCCAAATTCCTTCCTAAACCGAAGATTTTTCCCTACAACCTAATCTGATTACCCTGTTACCATAGCCAGTGCTCAAATCCCCACCCCATTAGCATGAACTGTCTCCTCATGGCATTGTCATTATTCTTTGCCTGCACATATTATTCAATGTATCAGTGAGTGCAATTATGTCATTAAATCTTCCTTATCTCAGTGCAGTGCAAATGTATACCATAGTTTTATTACATGCCGCACAACCTTCTTATTTTCGATATTTGAAGGGAATGCCGTAAGTGAAATGTGTCTTAAATTTTGTCATAGTGTCCATTACTGGCAAAGTTTAGCTTGGCTATGTAGAACTGAAACTTTTGCTCTATAAATACACTCTATTAAGATTACTGAATATCCACATAAAAATATCTAATTGATTAACCGTAAGTAAATCACAATAAAACTATGGTAATTATACATAACAAAACTCCTTTAATTGATGCTATGACGTCTATACTTCATGCTCTGGCACAGGTACATTCTTCAAACATGTACTTTAATCAAATTTGAGCTTTGGCTAGTTCATTTCACAAAAATCACCATGGAGGATTTGCACTGGCTTAAGACAAGATCAACCTTGTCAGAACATACAAGGAGAATCATTGACCACTGCCTGGAAGAAAAGCATGGATTGCTGGGTGAGTAGTTTATGTACTTCAACAAAAGATTGTGAGTTTAACCTACTTTATTTAGATTAGTTTTTATACCTGCTGGAACAGTTATTTGCTTTCTTTAGCCTACTCAATGGTATTCATTATTTTCAATCCAATGTTAATCTTTATGGTATGGACACAAGTAGATGACAAAAAGGTTGCAGTAATCTGCAATAAATGGTAATGACACAAATGAAGGAAACAGGCCATCAAAAAGTGCTGCTGACAGCCTTTGTGGTTCTCAATTTCAGCTGTATCTTACTCTGCATACCGAGGTGAAGACAATGCTAGCATGGGGATGTACCAGCATCCACCCTCCACGCCCGGTCAATATAACTTAGATTGTTGAATAAAATGTAAAGAATTACCTAGCCCTATTCTGATTAACAAGCAAAACTTTATGGTACAGTACACCTATTTTGTAAGAACCCTCTGAAACACAAACACCTAAACCATCTTGTTAAGTTTATTACCTAAAATTGGCCCTGCAAAAAATATATGTATATACTGAAAATAAACATAGTAATGGATACACAAAAATGAAAAGAAAAACAAACACAATAATTTATCTTCATATTGTGGCCGTTTTCCTTTTCATATGTATATATAACCTTTATGTATGAAAAAGCAATCTGTAATTACCAAGAATAAGGGGTATAGAAAAATATACAAAACTTCAAATCCTGCATTATAATGCACTGGAAGGACACTTTCTACCGTATAAATTAGTCTGTGCAAGTGAAGGATATCAGTACAATAAGATATCAAAGAGGGTGCCTAGAGTCACGCAAGCAATCACCACTGTGAAGATTAACAAACTTCAACTATGCATGTATTCTGGAAAGACAAGAGCTTATAGCCACTCTGATGATTTTTTAAAATCAAATGAGGAAATATTCCATGTTGAGTTAATCTTTACAGGATGGGTGGACTAAGCTAGGGCAAATTAAAGATGAGAGACTTGTTGTGGACAAAATGTTGCAGTCACTGCTACAAGAAATACTTAGCAGACACAAATATAAATGCCTCAAATAAAGGAAAAATATCGCTCAACTCAGTTTCAAGTCTGTTTTGCTGTGCATACTGAGGTGAAGACAATGTTTTTGCTGTGGGGTGTTGGTTGGGCAGAGCCCCCATTAACTTGCCTTTGCTAGACTATAAAGGACAAAGTTCATATTAACTGCTTATGCAGTCCTATTATGGATATATAAATAATTTGGTGATACGTGTTTATGTGCCATTATGGACTATGTGCCATGAGAACTCAGCTGCCTATAGGAAAAATTAGAAGCATGAGAATTATATAATTTCCTCAGTTTGATTACAACTACAGCATATGTGATTTTTCAGGAAATAAAGCATAAAAATAACTTAAGCCTACTTTTTGGGGCTGTAACACTGCAGTCATAAATAAACATGAAAAACACCCCTTGAATCCATATGATACGACCAACAAGTCATGAAAAATTTTGCTAATGGCTAGGGTAATAGGAACATGCTATCAGCACAGTATGGAAAGTACAGCACTTTTCAAAGAGATCTCGGGTGTGCACACAAAAAAATTGAAGTGGGAAGATTGCACTTCAAGTGTGCACATCCTGGAATTTTTCAGATAACAAAATGCTTGAAAGCCCTTTAAACTATTAGTAAATTCCTCGTTTCATATTGATGTTAAATAATTATTCTGATCATTGACTACTGTAAATCACTCAAACAAAACTCCCGGGTGTGCATCTGCCATACTTTCCATACTGGCCGTCACCTGAATTTTGGCTGAAGGTCAGGGTGACAGAATGACTTAAGTGCATAAAATTCTTGGAGGATGAATAGATTTGGTGGGCATTTAGGAAGGGGCTCTTACCTTGTTCCTATCAGTAAATGATTGATATGTACCAACTGTGAGGCATACCTAGAAGAACACTGGCTCCAGGGAAGATAAAATCTCCATACTCACAATCCTATTCCTGGCCACCATGACCAGTGGCACAGGTTTTAATATAGAAGATTGAATAGTTTGGAAAAAAAAATTAAAATTACACTAATAACAAAATGTTACTTATTGTTATTATTATTGCACTGGACTACACAGAGAGATAAAATGGAGTCTGGTTACATTATTTCAAATCACGAATATGAATTGTTTGAAAATAGCAAAAAAGCAAAAAATAAAGAAAAGCTTATGCAGAAAAAACGATATCGTTCCAAAGGGGAGGCAAGGTCTTGACACTGCACACGAGTGTCCGTATGAGCGCAGGCTACAAGTCAGACACCTGTCAGAGTGGCCACTTAAGTAAGCCTAATGGGCCATGTGTGGACAGGGAAGCACCCCGACCCAAGGGATTAAGTGCAGACATGCAGGTCAAACACATATTGGCATGAAGGTGCATGCCACCTGTTAATGAAACTGAGGCTGTGTGCATAGTTCTGTGCGACTTATACAGTATTTACAATTAAACCAAAAAGGATTTCAATATAAGAAAACATTTGTTAATGTTTGGAAAACACCCATGCATTTGCCACCAGCCAGCCACCTTGCCAAACAGTATGCTTCCATGCCTGTTGAAACTCTGACAAAGACAAAAAGTTCACCACGCATTTCCAGTTTCTCACTTCCATCTAACCCTACAATTATTATTTCCTGTTTAAATTATTCACGGTGTAATGTGCATGATTCTGTTGTTGATTTATATCTGTTTATGAAGTGACCGTACACTTCTAAGATGAAGTCCCTATTACTCTAGGCACTCCTGGGAATCCACAAACACTACTGTAGGAGCCCAAAATCTTCCTAACCCTGGGGCGTCACCACCAACCCTCACTATCAGGGGCTTTGGCTCTGGATCCCTACTTGACTGCCATGGACTTATTCGTCACGCAACAGTTGTCACAACATTTCTTCATTTAAAACATTATTCTTTGCCTGTTCAGATTATTTCATATATTAGTGAGTGCAGGTTTTCCTTCTTTGTGTGGTCATTATGTAAATGTATACGAAAGTATAATGAGTTGCACTGCTTTCTTTTTATCAATCAGTGAAGGAAATGCCATAAATGAAGTTATATTTTCGTGTCATTCTGTCTATTGTACGAAAAGTTTACCTTGTACCATATGGCTGTGTGAAACAAACCATACCTTAATGAGTAACCAATCTAACTCCTCTATGTCACTAGAATACACGTGGTGGTGGTTTCTTGGATTTTGCCGGTGTCTGCTAAAGGTATTGGAAATATCTTTAAACTAGATCATTACTGTTGAAATTCTAAATGAACATCATCTACCTGAAATCAGAGGAATTGATAAGTGTTGAATAGAACACGGCCAATATAGTTACAAGAAGAAAGTCCCAATTTGAAAGCAGCTGTCTTCTAAACCTTCACCCAAAAATTTTGCTATGGAGTGAGGATATTAATCAAATCTCATCTGACGAAACACTATGCATTGATACTGGTTCTTGGAATAACATTTTCCTGCATAAAAGTCTGCATTGTGTCTAATAAAAATCCTCCACACAAGGGCAAATTTCCCTGCAGGCAAATACAAAACGAATAGAAATATGTTAACAATTCTCTATAACAAGACTTTGAACAGAAACTGGCAATTTTCGCGCCAATAAATCCGTAAACATATAAGTAAAAAACTGGCTAAACAAATTCCAAAAAAAAAAAAAAAAACAACGGCAGACAATCAGATGACACTGAACAAACTCTTCTTGATGATCTTATTTTCTATTCTCATCTCTTTTTCCAATCATCATTGAGTCATAAATATCAAAATTACTTCATTCGCTAACAACGAGACAAAATGGAATAACGGAACTTCCACCAACAAGGCTGTCTTTTGAAAGTCCATAGGAGACGTTCCCATCTGATCCCTCCCTTGAATTAGCATTAATCCAATAAAAACTCCATTTATGGAGGAAAAAATACGTAC